GCGTCCGGCCCCGAAGTGGAGGAGCTCGCGCGCCTGCTGGGCGAGGCGTGGCGCGGGGCCGTGCGCGGCTACCAGGAGCGCGTGGAGCGCATGGAGACGGCGCTGGGCGAGGCCCGCCAGAGGCTGGGTCAGGCGGTGCAGGGCGCCCGCCAGGGGCACCTAGAGCTGCAGCAGCTGCAGGCCGAGCGCGGCGGCCTCCAAGAGCGCAGGGCAGCCCTGGAGCAGAGGTTGGAGGGCCGCTGGCAGGAGCAGCTGAGGGCCACGGAGAAGTTCCAGGTGAGGAGGTGGGGGACCTGGGGCGAAACAAGGCGCCGAAAAGTCCCTACGAGGCTCAGAGACCTTCTGGGGAAGGGAGTGGGAAGTGGGGGTGGAAGGGGGGTGGCTGCCCATTCAGGGACCACATCTTAGAAAACTCACAGCTGGTGCCAGAGGCCCTAGACTTTCACAGCTCCCTCTAGAATAGGGTGGAAATGGTCGGAGTCGGAGCCTCTCAAATCAGACCGCCTGGAAGGGCAGACAGGCCCAAGACGGGTGTAAGCACCTTCCCACTCTGATGGCCTCTGGGCCCCTCCCTAGACTCTGCTGTCACTGGCAAGATGCCCAGGACTTTCCCTCTCTGTGCTGCTGAGCCTCATGGTCCTGCTACTCAGAATCTTCAAAGTTCCTAACCACCCTCGCCCCCCTGACAGGTGGGGGTGAGGGGCCCTGCATGAGGGACCAACTGCCCGTGTCCCACGTCATGGCTTCTTAACTCCCTCAGCACATTCCAGAAGCCTGGGACAGCTGCTCCCCCTCACACTGCACAGATGTGACCAGCAACTGAGAAAACAGCTCCCTTCCTGGGCCGACAGAGGTCTCTCCATGGCCACCTCCCCAACCCTCCTCTCAGAGGAGACAGATTCCAGAACATGTGGGAAGTGGAGGGGGTGGGTGTGAGGAGCAAAAGACAGTGATTGGGACTAAGGCAGTTTTGGCTTCCAGTGCTGCGGGCTCCAGGCTTCTTGATTAATCGTTTTTCCTTCTGCTTCTACTCTTAATCGTTTTTCCTTCTGCTTCTACTCCCCCTGCCCTCTCCTCCGCTCTGTAACCATCTCCTTCCCTCCCTCATGTCCCCCTTCCTGTGGCAGTTGAATTCTGAGCAGCATGTGCAATCATTTAGTCAGCATCCTCAGAGAAGGAGCCCCATGGGAAACGAGAGAGAGAGAGAGAGAGAGAGAGAGAGAGAGAGAGAGAGAGAGAGAGAACACGCCCGAGAGGGGCCCTTGCGCTCCTCTTGGGGTCTCCAGAGGGGTTCTCTGGGCAGGGAGTGGGGTAGGGAGGCAGGAATCTGCTCAACAGACAAGTCAGGAGCAGAAGGTGCTGTTGCAGCAGCCAGGAGGATGCAGGTTCGTCAGCAGGCAGGACCCCACCCTTTACTGACTGCCTCTGGCTTGCTCTGCAGCTGGCCATGGAGGCCCTGGAGCAGGAGAAAAAGGACCTACAGAGTCAGATTGCCCAGGTCCTGGAAGGTCGGCAGCAGCTGGCACGCCTCAAGATGTCCCTCAGCCTGGAGGTTGCCACATACAGGTACAGGTTGACCCCGACCCACCCAGATGAGGCAGAAGGGCTTCAGCTGAAGGGGTCTGGAGCCATGGGTGGTGGCAGCTCTACCACCACTAGGTTCTGTGACTCTAGGCTGATCTCCTTCACACCAGTATATTTCCCACCTGAGCCCACTTAATCCCCGATGGGTTCAGGACCAGAGAAGTATCCTGTGCCCAAGAAATCCCCCAAGGAGAGGTGATATTGCTGAATAGGAGAGAGGGCTGGCCACCTGTGGGGCATCTGCATCCGGACTCTTACCCCAGGGGGCTGAAAAGCCCTGTCTGAGTGTGTATTCTCACACAAGGAGGTAAGTTCCTTGGGCAACCTCAGAAAGGAGGAACTGCCGGTGTGGGTCGGTGGCACTGGTTTGCACTGGCGAGTCTCCTTGTCTGGAAGATGGAAGATGGGCTGCGTGACCTCCAAGGCCCCTTCCATCCTGAATGTCATGGGCCTGACTACTCTCAAATCCTAGTCCCTTGCCCTACCCAGCCCTTCTGCTAACCACACTTCCTGGCCCAGGAAAGGCTGAGACTGAGGAGGTGCTGCTGCTCTGGCTGCGTGGCCTTGGGTAAACTCACAGTCTCTTCCGGGAAACTGACCTGGTTGGCTGAGGGCTCAGTGACAGAGCCTGAGGAAGGGGCTTTGCTACCATGAAGGGCTTCGTATACCAAGCCCACTGTGAGGGCCGGGGTTAGACAAGCTATGAAGACAGTGCCCCCGGAGTCCACAGACAAACAAAGGCAGGGGTCCTAGGACAGGTTCTGGAGGGGAGGGGAAGCAGGGCCCAGAAAGGAAGCAGGGCTCAGTGAGGAGCCAGGGATGAGGAAGGGAGCCGTTGAGTGAGCTCAGAGGGCAGGATGCTGCCGGGGGAAGGATGGAGGTGAGACTGCAGACAATACTAACCAGACTCAGAGATCATGAGGAAGAGCTGAGAGCTGATGTTCAGCATAACCTGTTGAATTGATTGTTTCGCCCTCCTCCTATGGGTCTCTCCTCCCCAGTCCCCATGGGGTATTGAGGCAAAGGCATGAACACAAAGACCTCCATTGCCCTAAAAGGCTTGGGACCCAGAGCACTTAGAGATCCCAAGATGAGGGCCTTAACCCCAATCAAATCACTGAGCAAAAGGGGTCTGGGGAAAGCTTAACCTCTGGGGTTTTGAGGCCTGAAAAGGATTTAGATGAATTCTTTTATTTCTTTCTGTGACTAGCTCCTGGGGCCCTGGGGGAGGAGGAGGGAGCCTATCCCATGGGAACAGCCTGAGAATTCCCACTTCCCCTGGGAAGCCCCTCCTTAGACCCTCCAGATGGTGGTGTGGACAATGGCATCAATTAGCATGAGAATGGGCACCACACACAGAGGATGAGGTCATTAGCCTGGGGTGGGGAGGGGGAGACTAGTCTAAGCTATATGTGGGAGTGTGTACATTGTGTCTGCTGTGTGGGAATCTGCTTGTGTGTCTGTGAGCTCATCGGTGTGTCCCAAATATGTGTGTGATGCTCTGTGACCAAGTGGGTGATATCTGGATATGTGATTCCATGTACACAGCCACGTATATCCCCACCTGTGGCTTTCATGTGCTAGTGGTAAAAATGAAAAGGAAGCCTGCAGTATTAGGGTTTTGGTTTTTATTTTCGTGTTTTTTTCTGGCTGGTTTGCCTACTGGCCTGTGGACAGAGGGCTGACCCAGTTTTCCCTCCCTCATTCCCCAGGACCCTCCTAGAGGCTGAGAACTCCCGGCTGCAGATACCTGGCGGTGTGTCCAAGGCTTCCTTCAGCTTCCAGGGTAAGAGTTGGGGCCAGGTTCCCCCTCCTCAAAACTCTGCCCTTTTTTGCTTTTCATATCCCAGAACAATTCCTTTCTTGAGAGGCACCAGTCTAAGTCTTGACTCCTTGGCTCCCAACAACCCCTACAGTAGGAGGCAAGGATGGGGCCCATGGGCACTCTTGCCAGAAATGGTAACTGCTCTGTGGCCCCATCCCCCTGCCAGTACATACTGACACCGTTTCTTTTCCTCCATCTTTCCAGACCCCAAGCTGGAGCTTCATTTTCCTGGTACTCCAGAGGGCCAGCGTCTGGGACCTTTGCTCTCTGTCCTCAGCCCTACTCCCCTCTCCTTGCCCTTACCTGATACTCTTCAGACACCTGTTCCAGCCTTTCTGAAGAGCCAGGAATCCCTCCAGGCTCGTACCCCCACCTTGGCCAGCACCCCTATCCCACCCACAACTCAGGCTCCCTGCCCTGCTACAGACGGAGAGATCAGAGCCCAGGATGCCCCTCTCTCTGTGCTCCAGCCAGAGGTTGGGCGGCAACAGTTTCCACAGGCCGTGGGGGCTGAAGCCAATGTAGCCATCCCTGCCTGCGTCCTGCCAGGACCAGAGGAGCCTGGGGGCAAGCAGCTAAACGCCAGTCCAGGCCAGTCCCCTGAGGATCATGCCTCCTTGGCCCCACCCCTCAGCCCTGACCACCCCAGTTTAGAGGCCAAAGATAGAGAACCCAGTGAGACTAGAGTGTCCAGCAGATTTCAGGAGGATGGTGAAGGGGAACTGTGGGAACTGGCAGAGAAGGAAATAGCCATAGAGGTCAAAGTGGTAAGCAGCCTGCAGCAGCAAACACAGCAAGAAGAGGGGGATCTGGGCAGGAAGGAAATCCAGGACTCCCAGGGTCCTTTGGAAAAAGAAACTCTGAAGTCTCTGGAAGAGGAGGGTCAAGAGCCACTGATGTTTCTGGAAAAACAGAGTCCAGAGACACTGAGACCTCTAGGGAAGGAGAATCAAGAGCTATTGAAGTCTTTAGAGGAAAAGGACATCGAGGTAGCGAGAACTCTAGAAAAAGAGACTCTAGAACTATTTAAGCCTATAGAAAAAGAGGACCCGCAGACATTGCAATCTCTAGAAAAAGGGAATCAAGAACTAATGAAATCTCTTGAAGATAATCTAGAGACATTTTTATATCCAGGGAAGGAAAATCAAGAATTAGTGAAGTCTCTAGAAGGGGAGAACTTTGAGTCCTTGAGAGCTCTAGAAAAAGAGAATCAAGAACCACCAAGGTCTGTAGAAGAAGAGGACCAGAAAACACTGAGAACTCTAGAAAAAGAAAATCCTGAGTCTCTGAGGTCTCTAGAAGAGAATCAAGAGTCCTTGAGGTCTCTAGAAAAAGAGAACCAGGAACCACTGAGGTCTCTAGAAGAAGAGGACCAAGAGACAACGAGACCTCTAGAAAAAGAGACTCAACAGCCACTGGAGTCTCTAGGAGTAGAAGACCAAATGACATTGAGACCTCTGGAAAAGGAGAAACCAGAGCCACTGAAGTCTCTTGGAAAAGACCAGGGGATGTTTAGACCTTTTGAAGAAGAGAATCAAGAGTTATTAAGGTCCCTAAAAGAAGAGAGTATAGAGGCAGTAAGATGTTCAGAAACAGAGAATCTAAAACCACTAAAGTCTGCAGGAGAAGATCTGGAAATATTAAAGTCTACAGAAATTCAAGGGCCATTGTGGTCTCTGGAAGAAATGAATCAGGAGACAATGAAACCTCTAGAAAAGGAAATTCAAGAATCGCTGGAGTCTGTGGAAGAGAACCAAGAGTCATTGAAGTCCCTAGAAAAGGAGAATCAAGAATCATTGAGATCTCTGGGAGGATGGAACCTAGAAAATTTGAGACCTCTGGAAGAGGTAGACAAGGAAAGTCAAGAGTATCTGGAAGAGGAAGAGAACTTGGAGAAGGGAGAGAATCCAGTGTCACTGAGGTCTCTGGAAGAGGAGGAGCAGGAGCTGCTGCTGTCTGCAAATCAGCAGAGGTGGGAAGATGTGGTGGTGGGGGGCCAAGAACTGGATCAGGAAACCCCCTCTGGGAGGGCTGGCGTGGACGATGAGGATGAAGCAGAGCTGGGCCGGAGGGAATGTGATGGCTTCTCTGGAAAGGAGGGATCTGCAGAGGAGGGAGAACTGCAGTTGACTGCCATAGGAGGAGCCTGGAGCACAGGTGAGGGGCACCCAGGGAGCCCTGAGCCCAAAGAGCAGAGGGCTCCAGCTGAGGGCGCCAGTGGGGAGGGAGTTGCTGAGGGCCTTCAGAAACCTGAAGAGCCAGAGAACGTGGAGGCCCGAGGCCTCCATGCTCCCTGGAGAATGTCAGAGGTGATAGAGCCAGTATTGGAAAATGAGGATAAGGCCCAGGGGGTGGCCGAGCCTCCCCAGAGGTCACCTTGGGGTTGGAGGCAGCCGTGGGTGAGTCTGCTGCAGGAGCTGAGCAGGGACTGGAGCAGAAGATGGTAGGGTTGGAGGACCCAGGCCACCTGACCAGAGAGGAGGTGATGGAGCCACTCCTGGGGGAAGAAAGTTTGGAGGCAAAGATTGTGCAGGGCTTGGAAGGGCCTGAAAAGGACCTAGAGGAGGCAGCTGCTCTGGAGCCAGAGCTTTCCATACTGCCCAGGAAGAGCAGAGACTCTCTGGAGTCTCCTGGGGCTGGGGAGGAGTTGGAGCCTGAGGTCCCCTCGGGAGAAGACGAGGTGCTCCCTGCTGAGACCTTGTGCCATGATGCAAGTGATACCCCTCAACCCAGGCTCCTGGGGTCAGAGGAAGCTGAGGAGGATGCAGAACCAGGGCTAGGGTCCTCCAGCCCCAGGCCCCCTGAGCCCTGGTCGCTCACCCCAATCCCTGAAGCTGCCCCTGGGCCCCAGCCCCTAGCAGAGGGGAACCAGGAGGCTAGCTGGGGGCTGGAGGGCAGGGCTGAGGCCCTGGAAAAGGTGGAGGGTGAGAAGGAGGAGTTGGGTCCTGGGGGACTCCCCGAGGGCCTCCAAGATGAGGAGGAAGAGAGCAGAGATGAGAGTGAGGCTGATGAGCTGGGGGTCCAGCATTAAGGCCGTGGAGGATGTCTAAGTAGCCCTCCTTTCAAGATGAAGACACATATCATGTGCCCGCTCCCTATCTTCGGGAGTGGATTGATCGTTCCGCCCATTGTTCTAGTCCTTATCCCTAATCCCCACGCTGCACACCAAGTAGATGTAGAGGAGGCATCTTATCGTGATGAGGAGGCGGTGAACAAGGAGGAGGAGCAGGAGGAGGACAGAGGAGGGGGAGACGGGGGAGACAAAGACGAAGAAGAAGAGGATATGGAAGAGGAGGAGGAGGAGGAGGGAGATGAGGAGGAATGTGGCCAGGACTCTGACCTGTCAGAGGAATTTGAGGACAATGTGGGGACTGAGGCTTCTGTCCTTCATGGGGACCCCAGGGAACTGATGGAGCCTCTGGGCCAGGTGTCCCAGGTGCTACTGGAGCCTGCAGCCTGGGGTCAGGATGGGGAGTCTGATGGGTTTGCAGATGAGGAAGAGAGTGGGGAGGAGGGAGAGGAGGAGGAAGAAGAGGAGCGGAAGGAGCCAGGGGGTGGGCAGTGGGGGCCGGGGCCCACTGTTGACAGCCTTCCTGCCATGAGCGGCCCTCAGAGGGGGAACCTCTTGGGGTCTGAGACTGTGGATGTCAACATCCCCTGGGATGATGGCTTGAGGGGTGCAGCAGCTGATCCGCCTATGACTGCCCAGGAGACCGAGTCCCAAGACAGCATGGAGCCCTCTGGCTCAGAGGATGAGTCTGACGATGCTCCCTTGGAGAGGGAGGACCAAGTTCCAGGCCCTCTGGGGACCCTCAGTGGGACAGAGGACACCCCTGGTATCAATGGCCAGGGCCCCAGCTTGAAGGACGAGTTGGAGCATGTGAATGGGGGGTTGGTGAATGGGGTGCAGCAGTCTGAAGGAGCAGGGCAGGGAAAACTGGGGGCCCTTGAGGGGGACCAAGGGAACCCTTTGGAGGAGGAGGAGGGGAATGCCCTGAAGACCCCTTGGGCAGGGGCTTCTCTTCATCTGGACCCAGGCCAGTTCCTAACGTTCACTCAGAGGGAAGGAGATGGGGACTCATTGTCTCCTGGTGACTCGGGGGAGGACTAGAGACAGTGCTGTTCCCGCGCTTAGGACTTGAGCGTGGACAGGTCCCCAAGCCTCCTCCCTGCTCAGGGCCAGCACCTTAACTTATGATCTCCCGACCTGTGGTTTCTGCCCAAGAGGCCTGGCTGGCCAAGGTGAAATGGGGTGTGGGAAGGGCACCTACCTGTCCCGAAAATGGAGGCTCCAGGAATAAAAACCAGCCCCTCAGACCCTGCAGAGTGGGCATCATGCCCGCACTGTCCCATGAGGTTTAAGCCAACTGAATCCCTGTAGGACTAGGCCCCTTTTCCTTGCACCCCCTGTCCTTCCCATCCTTTTGGCTGGAAAAGGCCTGGGGCCCGGTGGCTCCTCCAAGAAGAAGGTGGCTGTGGTGGTCGTTGTGTGGGGGCGCTCACCAGCCCTGTCCCTCCTCACTGTACCCTCATGGGATGTCTGGTCAGTAAGGGGGTGCTCCTATGTCCTGACCCCCCATATTCCTGCCCTGTGTGACCCTCTCTGGCTCCTCCCTGCTTGAATAAAGTAATGCTTCCACCTACAAAGTCTGGACTCTTTCTTCCCCAATTCAGGGAGTCATCAGGGCCAGCACAGGAGCTGGGGAGACCAGGAAGCATGGGAGATGCTGGTGTTGGGGCGGGGTTCTTCCTGAGGAGAGGAGGCCCTGGAGGCCTCATGGGGCGCAGTGCAGACAGACGAAGGCTGCAGGCAGCAGTGCTAGGGCCCTGGGGAGGGCTGGGGGTCCCAATCCAGGTGACCTCAGTGCCTGAGCATGCAGGCTGTCATCATCTCTGCCACGGGCTGATTACAGGGAATAGGACTTGTGCCACCCCCGCTCTTGCCTGTCCTCCCCCCTCCGGCCCCTCAGTGCCGCCAGCATAATAAGCCCCTTTGCCCCCAAATCCAAACAGCTGTCTGGCCTGTGATGTTTGCATGGACTGGCTGGGTCAGAGGCGGGTGAGGGAGGGGGAGGCCTGTTCTGCTTTAGTTGGGCTTGTGGCCTCGGGTCAGCGTTTATTGTCTGAATCTCAGACTCAGCCACACAAGAGGGGCACTGGGCTGGGTGACTTGGGGGGACCTCCCAGTGCAGGAAAAGCAGGAGGAAGGCTAGGGGAAGCCCGAGGGCTGCAGCTTTGACCTTTGGTAGTTCTTTCCTCACATGCTGAAGCAGGAAACAGGCAAGCCCGAAGTGTGGAAGTGAGGAGGGGGAGACACTGCAGTGACAGGGCTGAGACAGAGCTAGGGGTGTGTTGATGACTGGGGTAGACGAAGGGTGAGGGGCACAGCCATAGCTTCTCTCCACCCCACCCCTTTCCAGGGTCCCTGTGCAGGGCAGGGAGGGACCAGAGGTTCCTGGATGAAGTGGGGCCTGAGGCCTTGAAATCAGGATACGCAAATAGAAGCCCTCCCCAGCCCAGCTCAGTGGGGAAGGAAGATCTGGCGACACCTCTAAATAAATACACTTGGTGGGGGTGGGATAGGGGCGGCCAAACAAATGCTCCATATTTGGAGACAATCTCAGAAGTTTGGGAACAGGCCGAGGGCCTGGGAAAGATGACAGGATGAAGGCTCAGCCAATCTGGCCCCACGCATGTCCTCTGGCCAAGGAGGGGTGGGCAGGAGGCCCCCTGACAGAATCCCACTGTCTGTCTCTCTGCCCATGCTTTTCTCCTTCTCCATCTGGGAGTCTCTGTCTTGGGCACCGACGCCCCCATTTCACCGTCCACCCTGCCCTCGGGGTCCAAGAGTCTGTCTCCCCTTCTGGCAGCCCAAGCCTACACTCTCCTTCCTGTACTCACCACTCACAAGGCCTGTGTGACCCTGCCAGGCTGCCAGGCCCGAGGCCAGCACATGGGCATCCAGGCCAGTAAGACCCACTCCCTGACCCTCTGATGTGACACAGGAGCCCTGTTCGTGGTCTCCCCAGGCCCTGGGGCACCCCCGCCTGGGCAAGGGACCAAGGACAGAGGCCAAGCCAAGAGCAGTCCTGCCCTGTGCCTGGGTGGACATCCTGTCCCGCACACCAGGGTCCCTGGTCCCCCACAGAGTTACCCAAACCGGCTGATTCTTTTTTTTTTTAATATATTTTTATTGATTTCAGAGAGGAAGGGAGAGGGAGAGAGAGAAAGAACATAGACGTGAAAGTGAAACATTGATCCCCCAACCGGGGATCGAGCCCACAACCTGGGCATGTGCAACTGGACGATGCCCAACTTATTGAGCCACACTGGCCAGAGCCAGCTTTGCATTTTAAATAAAACCTTCTGGCGACTGTGAGCATGGCCTGGAATGGGCAGGCGTGCTTCGGGGAGGCTCCTGCAATGGTCTGGGAAGGGGAGATGGTGGCAGGGGGATGGAAAGGAGGCTCAGAGGGCAGCAGTCTCTGGACTTGTGACCCGCTGTGGGAGATATGGGGACATGGCGGTGGAGGCTCCCAGGGTGTTAGCCTGGGCGGCTGGGAGACTGGTCCCATCTCTGAGCTGAAGAATCCAGCAGGAAATTGTGAGCGCCAAGAGAGGCTGCTCTGGGGGAGGGTGGCATGTGAGGCTCGGGAGAGAGGACCCAGCTGGAGACACGCATTGGAGGGTTGTTGGCTTAGAGATCATCCAGACAGAGCCCCCGGGGAACTCCTGGCCGAGAGGAGACGCTTGGGCAGGGGCAGGAGGAGAGACCAGAGAATAGAAGGACCTGGGGAGACCCTGTCATTGTAGAAAGCAAGGCCTTTGTCCAGCCCGGCGCCTGGGGGCCCGGGGGTGCTCAGTGACTTCGGATTGCATAAATGAACTAATGAAAGAATGAGTGGCTGATGAACTCCGACAACAAGAAGCCCTTTGGAGGGTGGGGTCCCCTCCAAGGAGGGAATGAAGAGGCTGCACCCTCCCCCCACCAGCAGGACAAGTGGGAGGTTATTCTGGGCCTCCTGTGGGTAAACATAGCCTCTGAGTGGGGTGGGGGCGGGGTGGGCCCCCCCCAGGTGGCTTCCTCATTTGTTTTGGGGCACTTCCTTATAAGGTGCAGGCTGAGGGCCATGGACGGTGAGGTCAGGGCTGAGCTCTCCATTCAGCCCAGCCCGATGCTGTCCCTGTTGTCCCTGTGGCTGCCAGAGTCTCGGAGGAAATCAAAGGCTGAGACTTTGGGCTCCAGCCAAGGAGCTCAGAGTGGGGCCTCTTAAAGGGCCCCCGAGCCTTCATGTCTGCTGTGGGAGCCCCGTTCAGGGCTGGGGAGAGGGTGTCCTTCCAGGGTCCTCTGGGAAGGTAGTGCTGGGGACCCTGGTTTTCCCATCTGTGTGACTGGCTCACCCTCTGAAGCTCCGGGCAGCTCTGACACCCTGTGGTCCCACCTTCGTCCCTTCTGCCGCAGGGTCTGCCCCTCTTGCTCTGATCTCCTGAGAGCGGGCTCATTCATTGCTTCCAAGGGCCCTGGTTCCTCCACTCCCCTCCGCTCCCCCTTCCCAGCCCCGCTTTGGGGAACCAGCTGCTGCCACTTGACCCTGTGGTGTCACAGCTGCTGCCAGCAATGCCATCCTTGCTAGGCAGGGAAGGAGGAATGTGATTTAATTTGAGCTGGAATGTGCCCTCCGAGGCTGCCCAGAGAGAGGGGCGGGGGTGTAGACCAAGCCACCCACGCCCAGGAAACCCACGAGGGCTCTGGGCTGGGGACAGGCTCCCGTGTCCGTGTCCCATGGGAGGGGCCCTGCCGCAGGATGGGTCTTCATGGCAGTGGGGAAAGAGAAGGCTTCTGGTGACTGTCCCTGAGTCCACAGGCCCCTCAGAAAGGTAGGGGGAGGGTCTCCTCACCCCGTCGGGGGAGGGGCGACTGGCTCGGGGCAAGAAGAGAGACAGAAGCCTCGGGCGAGGGCCCACAGGCTGCAGTGGAGAGTAGAGGAGCGTTCTGAGATCCCACATGATTTCCTTCACCCTGGGGGCCCCCTTCCCTCTCCCCTCTTTCTTTCTTTTTTTAAAATATTTTTTTATTGATTTCAGAGAGGAAGGGAGAGGGAGAGAGAAACATCAATGATGAGAGAGAATCACTGATTGGCTGCACACCCCACACTGGGGATCAAGCCCGCAACCCGGGCATGTGCCCTGACCGGGAATCGAACTGTGATCTCCTGGTTCATAGACCCTCAACCACTGAGCCACACACAGTGGCCCCCCTCTCCTCTTTCTAACCCAGCACCCCAACACCAGGTCCAGCTTGCCTCTTTGCCAACATTTCAGGAGCAGTGGACTCTGCCTCCTGCTCCCCACTTCCTCCCCAAGCCCATTATTCCAGGCTCTCCAATGCGGGTGTCTCTCCTACCACCTCACACCTGTTCTGGATGCTATAGCACCAATCCCTCTTGCCCCAAAAGGGGTGGACCTCAGACCCCAGAGTCCCAGTCCTACAGCCCTCTTCCCCTAAGTCTCCTCTCCCAGCTTCAAAGTCCCCTCCCTACAGCCCCATTCACCCTCCCCACCCCCATGACTCAGCTGTGACTCCAGAAATAAACGGAGGCAGGAGCCAGGGGGCCACTGTCGAGGAACCACCACGTCCCAGCAGCTGTGGGCTCAGCTGCTGCTAAGCCGGAGCCACAGGGTCCCCGGAAGGGTGACTGGGGGACTTCAGTGGTCGGTCGGTCGGGCGATGCCCAGCTGGCTTGGCCCTCTGCTGGGACCCCATCCTCCCTGCTAAGGAGAACGCTCCTCCCTGGCAGCCTCACTCTCCTTCCCCATCCCCTCGCCTCTGTCTTCCACCTACTTTCCTCCCTCCTCTCTGGCCTCTCCCAACTCCTGAAGCACTTGGTGTCTCCTGGATCTCTTCCTTCTCTGCTCATCTCATTTGTCGGGAAGTTGTATGTCAGAGCTTCAACCTTGATGGGGAAACTGAGGCACCAAGAGACATCCCTTGTCAATGTTACTAAGAGTCCCTAGATGCCAGTTGGAGTCCATAGAACATGGTCCAAGTGGCTGTGGGTCGCTGGCCTTAGGTGCTGCGGTCCAAAGTGGTCAATAGCCTTCCCTCGTTAACAAGCTGCCTAGAGACTAAGGAAGGACCCCCAGGAAGTAAACTCAGGGGCCACCGAGCCACCCACCAGGCGACTAAGCAGAGTGGAGTCTCTCACAGGGGATTTTCTCACATCCTCTTCCTTCTCCCTCTTTTTTCCTCTGTTCCTTTCCAAGCCCTTCCTCTTGCTCTGCCCTGAATCTTCTAGTTCTTCCTTCCCAGGAGGGAGGAGGTTGCTGGAGCAGGCAAGGTGGCAGTTAGATCTCAGGGAGGACCTCCAGTCTGGGGAATAGGAGAAGGATCTGACTGCAGCCCCCATGGAAAACCCTCCCCCCTCAGGGGCCTGACAGGCGGAGCATTCTTTGAAGTCTTTGGGAGCTGCTGTGTCACAGCAGGCAGGCAGGCAGGACAATGGGGCCCTTTTCCTCCCTGCACAGGGGCAGGCCCACCAATGGCCTCAGGGCTGGGACAAAGGCCCCAGTGAGGTCAGGGCAGTGTGTAGGGTGGGGAGGTGGGAAGGAATAAGGTGAGGGGGTGTGGGTCAGAGCAGCCTGGGGGGAAGCTGGGGACCTGGCAGTTGAAGGCCTTGGCAGGCCCATGTCACCGGGCTCTCGGGCTCCTCTGCAAGGCCCAAGCCCTGTCTTCCACCCAGGCTGGACCTGCCCCTCCATTTATTCCAATACACCCTCTGACCCCCCTCTTGTCCTTCATCCCCAGGGGGCCCTGGGGGGGACCTCACTTTAGACACGTATGAAAGGCTGAGGGGCGAACCGCATATCCAGGGGCCTGCAGGTCTGTGCTGTGTCCTGGAGGCAGAGGCTCCCAAAGACAGACTGACACTCCATGAGGGGTCAGTTCCCTCTGCCCAGCCCAACACAGGCCCCTTTCTCATTTTCCCTCCCTGGGCCAGGGTTGGATTCTGTGCAGGGTGTTGAGTCACCCCTGGTCCAGCTCTCCCTTCCCCAGGAAGCCCAACAAAGCCAGGCTTCCGTTTTAGGCAGCCATGCCCAAGCAGCCCAGCAAGTGTCCGGAGGGGAGGAGTGTTCTAGTTCCAGCCCCGTGTCCACCTCTGGACCACTCCTCCTCCACAGTCAGAGAAGATGGCGGACCCCTGCCGACCAAGGGTGCGGAGATTCAGTGACTAAGGGGCTGGGACACCAAAGCCCCTTCCAGCTCACCACTAGGGTCTCTCTGGGAAATACCACCTGCTTTCTAAACCCCATCTCTGCGAGGTCACAGTTCTCAGAGAACCCCCCTTAAGGACCCCAGGACGGACACTGTCCCCTCTTCAGCCTTCTCTTCTTGAGGGGCTATGTTCAAAGGCCCACCCTGGTCTCGATCCACTCATGATTCCAGCTAAAGTCCATGACATGCCTAAACTGCCCTTGAAGGGTAGTACAGGATAAGGGGGAGGGGCTCCCTACTCTGGTCCCCAAATCATCCTCTTCCCTGTAATTCCTTAAGAAACAGCCTTAGTCCCTAGCTGTGCTTGGCTGGGTTGTCTGAGGAGGGCAGAAGGGGGCGGGGGGCAGGTGAGCCCTGGGTGAGGAGAGGACTGTGGTATCTCAGAGATCAGCTGGGTTTGGGGTTTGTATCCAGGGTGGAGAAGGTCCAGGAGCTGGGCAGGGATGGCCTGGGAGAGCCCGTTTTCCTATCTTGCTTCGCTGTCTCTGGGCCTTTCCCCATCACTCTCAGCCTCTGTTCCTCTGATTCTGTCCTGTCTCTGTATGTTACAGGAGTTAATAATTAGCCCCACGAGTGGTTAAAAAGAGTATGTGCAGCAAGAAGATTCCCCCCCATAACGGAAACAGATGGCATCCCGACACACTCCCATAAGGTACAATAGAGTCACACACACACACACACACACACACACACACACACACACAGAGCTGGTCATTCTCTCTCCAGTTCTCAGAGTGACCTCACTATCTCAACCTCCGCTGACTCACAGCCCTCAGGCCAGCTCAGGCTGGCGGAAGTCTTACCCCCCTTCCTCCCCCCTACCCCTCACTCCAGCCAGCTGCCAGACTTCCTCACCCTGGACAACGGGGGTGGGGGGGGGTGGGGGTGTGTGACACCGCAGCGCCCTCTGGCGGTATCCTAAGGCTCCTCCCGCCTGGCTCCACTCACGCACGTGCACACAGCGCCCTCTGCTGGCTACAGCCTAGGAGGCCTGCAGGTCATTCCTCAGAGCCCAGCCCACAGCAGGGCTGGGGATCCCTCCTCCGCCCTGATCACGTGCCCCTATTCCTGCATCTCGGCCTGTTCTGCTGGAAGGACGCCATCCTGCGATCTAAACCCCAGACCTGCATTCCCTTCACCCTCATCCCCCTGCCCAGTGAACCCCCTCAGGAACCGAACCTCAGAACTGGGGCACCTCCCTGCTCTCCTCTCTGGGCCCTCAGCTCCCGCCCAGACTGAACTCATCTAGGTCTGTTTGACTCCAGCTCCTTTCTTTTTTCTTTTCATTGATTTCAGAGAGGATGGAGAGGGAGAGGGACAGAGATAGAAACACCAGTGATGAGAGAGAATCATTGATCGGCTGCCTCCTGCACACCCCCTACTGGGGATGGAGCCTGCAACCCAGGCATGTGCCCTGGTGATGGGGAATCCAGTGTCACCTCCTGGTTCATAGGTTGATGCTTAACCACTGAGCCACACTTGCCGGGCTCCAGCTCCTTTCAAACACCTCTATGCTGTCCCCCCCACCCCACCCCTGTGGGCTCCTTCATTCCATAAGTACTTACTGGGCAGCTCTTCTGTGCTAGTCACTATTCTATCCCCTGACTTCTCTGACCTTCAGCAACCAATAAACCCAGAAGGCATATTTATCCTGTAAGGTCCA